GAGGAAATCCTTTGTCCTCCCGAAACTGTTCATATTTACATTTGCATGGGCCGTGCTGTTGATTTCTTCCCGACCCTGACTTTCAGAGCAGACAGTAGGGGAGGGGGAGTCAACAGAAACTCAGGAAGAAAAGACTGATAAAATCATTTTTAGGTATTTTGTTGATCCCCCTTTTGAGGTCCAAATGCCACCGAAAGCTTCTTTCCATACTTCCTCCCAAATCCCATCACAGACCAGGAAACTCATTGTTCTCCTATCTAACACCCCGCCGTGTAAAAAACAAAGCCACACAGATGCCCCAAAGGCTGTCATTTCCTCAGTCTTTGTCAGGCTTCGTCCCGCCTCCTGGCTGCCGATTGGTCCATCTTCCAAGGCGCTAGGAAGGCGCTGATTGGCCCCCTAGAGGCAGCGGAGCCCGCTGATTGGTCAGGAGGCGGGGCGTGCCGCCAAGCCTCCTCCCAGCTGCTCCGTGGCCAGCCAATCAGGGCGAAGCCGGCCGGCAGAGGGCGGGCGGGATTTTTTGAAAATGTTTCCTTTGTCTGTGTACTATAAAAATGCTTGGAAATTCTGTAAAATTATGCTTGCAGTGGAATGATTCCTGCAATGCATCTGATCTCAGCTGAATCACAATAAACCTCGGTTGCTGAAAAGAAACTTCTTCCACTTGGATGAGGCATTATTATTTGTAATATTTTTTACTCTTTGGATTGGCTCTCGCTGGCCTCACCAAGGGACCCAGAGCCCTTTTGGCGCGGTCCTCGGGCTTCTCTCTCAAGGAGACCCCACTAAAAGCAGCTCGATATCAAGAGCCAAGCCAATAAATTCCTATCTGTTCTCTAAGTATTTGTTTTTTGTTTTTTTAATGAAGTATCAGCCTGTTTCCCTGCAGTACATATCAGCAGCTCAGCTTAACATGGGAGTAGGCCACCCAACAGTCACAACAAGATATCTTCTATTTTAGTTGCTTCAGTGGGGAGTGGGCTCTCATTTTGTGTTGAATCATATTGCCAGATGTTGCAAGGTTACCTTTTTCCTGGTTGCATGCAGCTCAGTACTTACAATGCAGCAACAGATATTTCTCTCAGTGATTCACCCCTCATAAGTTTAATGGAGGAAGGTCATGAGGACATCTTTCTGAAACTATTTCCACGCCCAAGGCTTACACACTCATCTTTCCACATAGACCTACTAGAAGATGAACAGGTGCAAACGTTCAAAGTACTGAATCATTTGAAACAGTCAAAGGGCTGAGTAACCTCACTGGTGTTATTAGGATTTTTCTTTTCCTTTTAGTAGAAAATAAGCAATGACAATAAAGTGCACAATACGCAGAACGTGTTCTCAGTGGTTGTTTTTATTTGCTTAAGTAATCGTAAGTAGACAATGAGGACACTGACCTGGTTCAAGATTTTCCATACCTTGGTGGAATGCCAAGCTGTAACAGTATTCTTTAAGAAAAGTCCAGAAAATTGTATAGAGGAATTCTCCTAGAACTTTCCATGACCAGCCAGAGACCTTTTGATAAAGAAACAGAGTTGTACTCAGGCTTCATCTAACAGCAATTGGAGAAAGCATTGTGCAAAGAGGTACTGGATACCTCCCTGCACAAACTGGAAAAAGAACCTATACTGGCCTAATTCCCAGTTACCCCAGCAGAGGTCTCTATAAAGATTCTGGCCTAGGGGTGGGTTCCTGAAGCATGAAGAAAAGATGTGAGCACTATCAATGCTTCCATTTTAAACAGAAAAGGGTCATCACTACTGACCTAGAGGTCATGAGTTCGAAGCCAGCCCAGATCAAAGTGAGTTTCAAGCCATTAGTCTAGCTTGCTGTCAACCTTTGCAGCCTGAAAAGACAGTTCCATCTGTCAAGTAGGAAATTTAGGTACCGCTTTATGTGGGGAGGCTAATTTAACTGATTTACAACACCATAAAACCAGCAGCGTGCAGAAGAATGAGGAAGTACTCCATCAAAGGACTTGGTGTCACAAATGAAGCAGCAGCTCCCCCTGTGGCCAGAATCGAGCATACCCTCATGAAGCCAGAAAGCTGGAATGTTAAATTGCCTCTGTGTCTGTCTATATATGTTGTATGTCTAATTGGCATTGAATATTTGCCATGTATATGTGTGTTGTAATCCACCCTGAGTCCCCTGCGCAGTGAGAAGGGTGGAATATAAATACTGCAAATAAATAAATAAATAAATAAATAATAAAATCCCAGTGAGCAAAAAAACAAAAGCAATGACTGACTGCCAGGCATTCATTAAGATCATAATTTAATGTAAGATTAAACTAGTTTACTAGTTTAGCCTTTTTCCATCCTGGAATCAAACACAAATTTGAATGACATCTGGAATCAGCTTGAATATGACTATGCAGTCTCATGACCACGGAATATTTCTCTCAATTTCTCTTTAAAGTAGGCACTTAGCAAGTCAGTCTGGGATCATCATCTCAGAACTGGAGAGAGGAACACCACTAAAATGTCTTTTTACTCTGTCATAACTCCCTACACTTCAGATGATCCATATAAGAGCCTCTGGTAATGACAGTAATATACAGACGAGCATGAGAAGAGACTAGCCATTTTTCAACAACATGTATGCTAAATATATATCCCACCAAAAATCAAATAACTGAAAACCTAGATATGTAATGGTGGCTTTAATGGGACTTGCACTCAGGAGAAGGGTTCTAGGTTAAATCTATAAGAAAGTAAAACGAGTGTGAAAACAACAATTCAGTGCATAAATCCAAGAGGCCAAACCTATAATTAAGGCAGTGAAAATAATGACCAAGGCCAAAGCATAGTGAGAGTGTACCTTTTTGGGTGAGCCTGTATCTGGACTCCATGCAATTCTGTAATCATCAAAATCAACTATATACAAGAGTTATTTGGAAAGTAAGGTTACACCGCACGTAGCTCTTGCACGGAATTTTTGTGAGGGAAGTTAGTATCACTGCTGTGTAGTGGGAAGCCAGTAGAAGCAAACGAGCAGTGCCAGTCATCAATAGCTCATTGACTGGCATTGTGGTGAAGGTTAGATATGAGCGTCCTCATTCCATTTCCCTTCTGTCTGTCTCCTTCATAGCAATGCGTGTCCACACAATGCTCATGCAACACAACAGTTGTTAACTTCATTTGGTTGCGATGTTTTCAGCCACTCTGCTCACAGCTCCGATCTGGCACTTAGTAACTATCATCTGTTCACTCAGTTGAAGGAACACCTTAGTGGAAAACATTTTTCCAATGACGAGGAGGTGAAAATCAAAGTGTGGAACTAGCTGAAAAAGGCCATGGGAGATTTCTATAATACAGGCATCAAAAAACTCAAAATACTAGCTTGGGGACCTGGCAGTGCCCGGGTTATTTGAGAAAGGCATTGTGTGCCAAGGCTGGTCGTTATCAGTTATTTATGTGGCTCACAGTGGTCTCAGGAAGTTGGTGAAGGTACTGTGAGTCCCATCGTCCATGGTCCATCCTCCTCCAAACTGCACCAAAATGTAGAGTGGGTCATGGGGGCTCTGTGTGCCAAGTTTGATCTTGATCAGTCATTGGATGAGGTTAGCAGTGGTCTTGGAAAGTGAGTGAAGGTACTTCAAGTCCCATCATCCATGGTCCATCCTCCTCCAAACTGCACCAAGATGTAGAGTGGGTTATGAGGGCTCTGTGTGCCAAGTTTGGTCTTGATCAGTCATTGGATCATGAAGTGATCATCTGTGGTCTGTCCTCCTCGAAACTGCACCAGGATGTAGAATGGGTCATGGGGACTCTGTGTGTCAAGTTTGGTCTTAATCAGTCATTGGATTAGGGTCAGAGTGGTCTCTGGAAGTGAGTGGAGGTACCTCAAGTCCCATCATCCATGGTCTGCCCTCCTTCAAACTGCAGTAGGGTACAGAGTGGGTCATGGGGGCTCTGTGTGCCAAGTTTGGTCTTTTTCGGTCTTTGTTGGGGGCCACAGTGCTCTGTGGGAACCAAAGGGTTTGAAAGTACTACAAATCCCATCATCCTTTGTCCGTCCTCCCCCAAACCTCACCAGGACGTAAAGGGGTTCATGGAGGTTTTGTTTGGTAAGCTTGGTCCAGGTCCATCACCCATGCTGGTTACAGTAGACTGTGAAAGTGGCAGCCAATCAGAAAGCTGCCACATACACCTCCACATACATACGAACAAACAAACATACATAATACAAACATTCACTTTTATTATATATAGAGATATCCATTTGTATTATAAAAAAATCTTGTAACCTTACTTTCCGGATATCCCTCGTACAATCATATTATTAAGTTGGGAAATTTGGATCCCCATCTCACATGTTTTCCAAGTTCCATACTTGAATGACAACACTTGAGGGAATTAATAAGGGATATTAAGGTCTGAGAGTTTCTTTTAAAAAGTAATATTTGCAAGTTCTGTGGGTTACTATTAACAATGACGAAAGTGTCAAGTAGTGACTTCCATGCCTGAAGTGGGAAATTCAAGTTTATGCCTCAGTTTTAAAGGAACTACCTATGGTACTAAGCAACACATCCTCAAAGTAGGTTCAGCACTTTGAAAAGCACCTGCAAAGTTCAGACTAAAATCCAGCATAGATTCACTTCTCAGCTAGCATGGAAGCCCCCAGCCTCCAGGAAGATTTTTCCATTTTCCCACCAGTTTAAAATAGCGGTAAGAGCTTTTACCAGAACATGAGCTCTAGGTCTTCACATCCCTATGAACAATAGAATTAGAAAGAAGGAAATGGTAAAGTTTGGAAGACAGAAAGGAGCACTGTCAAGTTGCATTTGCCAACAGGTTTCGTAACATTCCCAGGAGGCGGGCACTGAGATCTGGCAGTCTTCCCAGTGCTGAACACACCCTCTTGGGATATATATATAATATAAGTATCCAAAGCTTGCACTGTACATTAATGTGGTACAAGGTGGTTCTAATTTTGGAATTGCTATTATCTACCTTTCCCTTGCTATAAGAAAAGAAGAAAGCAGGAACACCACTATGAAACGCCAAGAACAAGCATTGTTGGGAAGGAGGTTCACGGGATTGGTTTTGCTGATATGCTTGGAAGTGTTGATGGGTAAGTATAATATGACCCTCACATCCTTGGGAGATGTGTTCCAAAACTCCCCAGGGATACTTGAAACTCGGGATAATAGCAGACTCCATATTTTGGCTATATGCAAGCCAGAAACATACCATAGCACTGCGCTGGATGACCTAGAAAAGCACATAAATGCTTTCAGGGAACTATTTTTGGGAACAAGTGTCAATGAAACCGTGGGGATCAAGTATGTAGATAAGGAGGTCATATTGTTGTATGTTTATTTCTATAAACAGATTTACCCAGTAGTACAAGGCATGCCAGACATAGCTTTACCGGGCAGTTCTTGGAAGCCCAGCTTTCCAGAGATTAGAAAAGATACATGACTGTACTATCACAGAATGTTAATTTTAGTTAATTTTAGGGTGCATTTAGTAAAGGTAAAGGTTTTCCCTTGTCATTAAGTCTTGTCATGTCTGACTCTGGAGGTTCGTGCTCATCTCCATTTCTAAGCCGAAGAGCCAGCATTGCGCATAGACATCTCCAAGATCATGTGGCTGGCATGACTGCATGGCACAGTGTTGCCTTCCCACTGAAACAGTACCTATTGATCTTCTCACATTTGTATGTTTTCAAACTGCTAGGTTGGCAGAAGGTGGGGCTCGCAGTGGGAGCTCACCTTGCTCCCCAGATTCAATCCTCCAATCTTTCAGTCAGCAAGCTTAGCAGCTCAGTGGTCTAACCTGCTGTGCCACCGGGGCCACCTAGGGTGTATTTAGATTATCTATAATTTGACAATTAAGTGCATGAGGTGTTTTTTTTCTTTACTTAATTTCCACCATTAACTGTGCAATACAGACTTAAAAGTCAGAATGATGAGACAGCCTTTAATCTTTTGTTGCATTACCCAAATCAAGGAAGTCACATGCCATTAAAAGAAAACAATGTGACAGTTTCCCATGTCTTTCATTCCTGGGATAGTTCTGAATCAAAGCCTTTCAATCTAATAAGTCAAAAAGAGGAACATAGAGTTCTCTGTTGTCATTCTTTTGTTTAATATATACATTTCAAGGTTTTCAAAGCAATCTGAGGAAGGAGTCTCTTTGTTCAGAAAATATGGATGCAAATAAGTCAATATGTGAGGTTTCGCCTAAGTTACTGAGATGGTGGCTTTTGGAGGCCCAAAAGGCCAACTTCAAATGACAACTGAATGTTTAAATACTGAATCCATATCTCCCTTGGTCCTTATTCTAGATGCCTCAAGGATATTTTGGTTGGCATTGAGACTGAAGTTCCCAGTTTCACTGGAAATTTCCAAAGGGACAGCTTCTAGAAAAAAGGGATCTTCCAATCATCAGCACATTGTGATAGATCCTTTAATTTTTTTACTGTGGTTTTGCTTGTCATTCATGTTGTTGTGGCCATTTTTAATTTGAAATTCCAAACGGTAGAAAAGCTTTATACAAACAAAAGATCTGACACGATAATCATAATAATTGGAAAATAGGAGATAACTCAATGTGTCATTGTTGGTAAGCTTCCTAAAACAAGAAGGAAAATGTCGAGGAAACAAAAAAGGGGTTATGGTGCTAAAATTCTTGATATTAAAATTCTTGATATTAAAAATGATCAGGAAAGCACTCTCCATGATACAGTTGGTAAAATTCCTGAGATTGTGAGGGAAAACAGGAGGTTTCATGGACCCGTTTTGGAAGATTAGGCACTGTACTGAACAAATTTCAACTGATAGCTAATGAGATATAACTTTGAGAGCAACACTAAAATTTGCTGGAAGAAAATCATTTATCCTTTCACACAATATAGTAACTTGATCATCCATTTATGATTATCACAAACCAAAAGCTCAATGCCAATTATGACAAAATTCTTCATTTGGATTCCCATTTGTATGATGTTACTACAATTCTGACTTACTTTTCCCCCATTTAGGTACCCAACCAAGTTCCGCTAGCAGAGGTGAGTACAATTCACATTTGTTTGTGTGATTTCTTAATCTGGTTATTATTAGTTTTGTTATTGTCTCATCCAAATGCCCAAAGATAAAGAATGGTCTAAAGCAGTGGTTCCCAATCTGTGGTCCATGGACCACCAGTGGTCCGCAAGAATAAAAGTATGGTCCGCGGCCTCACCATTACTACACTGTTGCCTCAAAATCATGTGGCAACAGGAGTGAATGGTCTCACGAAACCCTCTTATAGTGCCAAGGCAATGGGGATGTCGGGAGGGGAGGAGGCTGACTACTCACGAAACATAGAATCATAGAATCAAAGAGTTGGAAGAGACCTCATGGGCCATCCAGTCCAACCCCCTGCCAAGAAGCAGGAATATTACATTCAAATCACCCCTGACAGATGGCCATCCAGCCTCTGTTTAAAAGCTTCCAAAGAAGGAGCCTCCACCACACTCCGGGCAGAGAGTTCCACTGCTGAACAGCTCTCACAGTCAGGAAGTTCTTCCTCATGTTCAGATGGAATCTCCTCTCTTGTAGTTTGAAGCCATTGTTCCGCGTCCTAGTCTCCAGGGAAGCAGAAAGCAAGATTGCTCCCTCCTCCCTGTGGCTTCCTCTCACATATTTATACATGGCTATCATATCCCCTCTCAGCCTTCTCTTCTTCAGGCTAAACATGCCCAGCTCCTTAAGCCGCTCCTCATAGGGCTTGTTCTCCAGACCTTTTATCATTTTAGTCGCTCTCCTCTGGACAACTCTAGATGATTAAATATGGTTTTCTGTGGATGAGCAACTGGCAACCACTGGATGAGATATGTTCTGTATTAGAAACTAGAGCTGATGTAGTCTATCCAATGCAATTTTCTGAATCAGCACCCCAAATAACCAAACTGAATCTAAAGTTGACAAAAAACTGATTTGTTACCCTTTTGGTACTAATGCTGAACAGCGGCCCCTGGTCAAAGTGGTCCCTGATCAAAGTGGTTCCTGGTCAAAGTGGTCCCTGGTCAAAAAAAGGTTGGGAACCATTGGTCTAAAGAAACAGAATAGGAAATGTAATTTACTAGCTCTACATATGACTCTATGGCCTCACAAAACGAGTACTATATGCCCTAAAAACAAAATAAACGTTGATGTTATCCCAAATTCGTTGGGCCAGAAATGTTTGGGATTTCAGTTCTTTTTGAAATCTGGAATACCTGCATTTGCATGCATGTACATAATCTGGAAATGGAATGCAAATATAAGCATGGCATTCATTTATGTTGGATATACATCCTAATACACATAGACTAAAGGTAATTTTATAAATTATTTTAAAAATATTTTTATACACAAAACAAAGTTTGTGTACACTAAACCACCAGAAAACAAAGGTGGAACAATCTCAGCTACCCATGTGGATAATTTCGGATTTGGGATTCTAGATAAGGGATGTCCAAACTGTATTGCCTAAGAACACATTTGTTGTTAGCACAGCACCCAACACATCTGTCAATTGTATTTGAATCTTTTGTAGGCAAACTGACACCATTCACACATAAGATTAAGAATTCCGCAAGTCTGAGAAAGACGTAGATGTGTCTTGAACAAGAACATTTTAAACTGCAATTTGTTGTTACATGTCCCTCCTTGTACACATTAAAATCATTTTAAAAATCTATTAGAGTCATGTTAAAGCCATCTTTTCTAGACATCACTCTTCCATCCTCCCTGTTTTCTGTTTTCTAGAACACGAATGTTCCATCTAGTACTGTTAATAGCCATAGATTAAGCCAGCACTAGTTAATAGCCAGACCTAAACTTATAACAATCTCTTTTTCAGTATGTGGAAGACAGGGTTTTCTGAACCGGGTCGTAGGAGGGAAGGATTCCCAGGATGGAGAATGGCCTTGGCAGGTCAGCATCAAACTGAATGGGGAACACCACTGTGGAGGGTCCCTCATCAGTGATCAATGGGTTGTCACAGCCTCACATTGCTTTAAACTGTGAGTATTAACTTGGTACCTTCTCGGTGTTCTTTGATCCTCCTGAACATCATATATACATGTTCTAAAGTGAACTTCAAGTTGTCAATACTGAAAATTTCACATTAATTTTGTGTTTCATAAATCTGACAGAACAGCATTTTATATAATACAATTTAACAATACATACCATTACAATTATAATCAATATAACTTGTGATATTCATTGTTTGACCTATTTTGGGTTAGTTTCACTTGGGTCCCACTGAAATTGGGGACATAAGACCTTCAGAGGTAGTGAGGTCTGTTGGAACTGTTGGAACTGTTCCAACAGACCTCACTACCTCTGAGGATGCTTGCCATAGATGCAGGCGAAACGTCAGGAGAGAATGCCTCTAGACCATGGCCATATAGCCTGAAAAAAACCTACAACAACCCAGTGATTCCGGCCATGAAAGCCTTCGACAATACAAGCTAAAATCATTTTAATTAACTCACTATTCACTAGCTACTGTTTCATTTGGATGGCATTCTGCTGGAAATGTACACAATCATAAATGAACTAACGCAAAAATGAATTGCTCCTTTGGACAACATTTATATGCAGCTAGGCTTATCAGACCTTTATTGCATATTGCCTTGTTCTGCATGATCAAAATTCACTAAGGAGCCCCCGGTGGTGCAGTGGGTTAAAGCCTTGTGTCGGCAGGATGGCTGACCAAAAGGTCAGTGGTTCAAGTCTAGGGAGCAGAGTGATCTCCCATCTGTCAGCTCCAGCTTCCCATACGGGGACATGAGAGAAGCTTCCCACAGGATGGTAAAACATCCAGACATCCTCTCGGCAATGTTCTTGCAGATGACCAATTCTCTCATACAAGAAGCAACTTGCAGTTTCTCAAGTCACTCCTGGCACACACACACACACACACACACACACACACACACAAACCAGTTCACTAACCTGGTTGTGCATCATAGCAGCAACATAAGCTCAAAGGCCCTGATAAGCGATCTCGTAATATTTTTAGCCTGTATTCCTTTACTGGTCAATTTATTTCTATAAACAGTCACATAAATTGAACTTTTAAAAAATTATTTTTGAATGCAAACTAGAAAAATATTTGGTGAAGACATTTCTTGAAATGTGTGATAAAGTCCATTCAGAACACTATATTATTAGGAGGAAACAAATCCCCATAATATTTTATTTTCTCTCTTCTCTAGAGTTGATTCGCCTTCTAATTTCACAGTCCTGCTTGGAGCACTGAAACTCTTAAGCCCAGGTCCTTATTCCACCACGACTGGGGTGAGAAACATTGTCACCAATCCAGAATATGAAGCAGGGGGTATGAGGAGTGGAGACATTGCCCTAGTACAACTGGATCGACCAGTGGAATTCTCCAGCCATATCACCCCCATCTGTGTCCCTGATGCCAATGTCAACTTCCAACCAGGACTCAAGTGCTGGGTCACAGGCTGGGGAGATGTGCAAGAAAGAGGTAAGTGCAGAAGAAGAACCAAAATGCATGCATATCATCTTCAACTACAATTGTAGTGGCGCAATGGGTTAACCCTTGTGCTGGCAAGACTGCTGACCAAAAGGTCAGCAGTTCAAATCCTGTGAGCTCCCATCTGTCAGCTCCAGCTTCCGTTATGGGGACATGAGAGAAACCTCCGACAGGATGGTAAAACATCTGGGCGTCCCTTGGGCAACATCCTTATAGACGGCCAATTCTCTCACACCAGAAGCGACTTGCAATTTCTCGGGTTGCTCCTTACATGGAAAAAAGCCCGGTCCTGATTTGGCATCCTACTTCTTCAGTTTCTCTCTACTCTTCCTGCTTTGTCCTTGGCTTACATTAATTGCAGCAAACTGAGTTCAAAGTGCAGGGTAATGGAGGTAGAAGGATCTTGACCTTCCCAATAGACAATAGCCCACTGCTGCAGCCACTCCTAACTTGTCTGTTAAGTTTTTCCATCTTGGTCATACTTTCATGTTGTTTGGCCTCATGGGTCCTAATTTTCATCAATTAAATGTTGGTGCGGGCTATAATTCCAATTCCCTGCAACACCACGAAAATTAGAAGAGTGATTCCCAGTCTCAGGAAGCAAAATGTTTAGTTGGCAATCAACAAATTAGAGCGAAACTGTACTGCAGATTTTTATTGTCTTCATATTCATTCCTTCTTCTCATCGAATACTGAGAATTATCACTTTGTGCATGAAGGTGGATGCTAAGAATCATTCACAGATTACTGTTAATGTACATCATCAAAGTCCACTTCCCAAGATTGCCTGAGAGGAAGCCATGACAATTATAGCTCTATAACAATGATATATGTTTATTGCTGTAGTTGTGCCCGTAGGCAATGAGAGTCCATGGCTATGGTTGATTGAATTCATACTGTTTTGGGTTCTGTCTTTGATTATGCTAGTTAATCCCTGACAATACCAGTTCACAGAGCTCAGTGAGGAGGACGGAAGTCAATTTATTCAGGACCGTTGTGCCTTTCACTGTTATGTCATGATGAAATACAGAAATGAATCCTTCAACAGATGGCAATTTCAGTTAATCAACAATCCCCCAAAGCCCCTTATAGCAAAAATAATAGAACACATCATTTTTTAAAAAATCAATATGAAAACATAATACCTATTGGAGGCACTATCCTAAACAATTCTAGGACCAAAATGCACATGTTGTCATTGTAAAAAAAATAAGACTAGTGGCATTTTAAAGAGGGAGTTCATCTACTGTGTCATAACAGTTGACAAGTTGTATTCTGCCACCTCACTGGACCCTGGAGTCTCAGACATCTGCAGGAGGAGTGTAAGCTCACAGGTTCAATCAAGCTGGTAAATTTTTGACTATAGCCCAAGTATATATGGAGCCCCCAGTGGCGCAGTGGGTTAAAGTGCTGAGCTGCTGAGCTTGTTGTCCAAAAGGTCGCAGGTACGAATCCGGGGAGTGGTGTGAGCTCCCACTGTTAGCCCCAGCTTCAGCCAGCCTAGCAGTTTGAAAACATACAAATCTGAGTAGATCGATAGGTACCACTCCAGCGGGAAGTTAACAGTGCTCCATGCTGGCCACATGACCTTGGAAGTGGCTACAAACAACACCAGCTCTTCGGCTTAGAAATGGAGATGAGCACCAACCCCCAGAGTCGACACGGCTAGACAATGTCAGGGGAAAACCTTCACCTGGATCATCAATGTTGCAATCCCAGGTGACAGCAGAATTGATAAAAAAAAAACAGGAAAAGCTTAAATGATATGAGGATTTAAAGATCAAACTGCAAAGACTCTGGCATAAGCCAGTAAAGGTGGTCCCAGTGGTGATTGGCACACTAGGTGCAGTACCTAAAGACCTTAGTCTGCACTTAAAAACAATCAGTGCTGATAAAATTACCATCTGTCGGCTGCAAAAGGCTACCCTACTCAGATCTGTATGCATTATTCACTGAAACATCACACAATCCTAGACACTTGGGAAGTGTCTGACACATGATTGGATACAAAAGCCAGCATAGTGATCTTGTTGGCTGTGAACTAATCTGGTTGTATATCAAATAATAATAACAACAACAACAACAACAACAACTTAAAATGATTTATTACTTGCTTCTCCTTTCAGCTTGAAAGCTAAGTACAGAGGGCCATTTTTTTGTGTCAGAAGCAACTTGAGAAACTGCAAATTGCTTCTAATGTTTGCTTTTGATGTGAGAGAATTGGCCATCAGCAATGCCGCCTGGATGTTTTGATGTTTTACCATCCTTGTGGGAGGCTTCTCTAATGTCCCCATATGGGGAGCTGGAGCTGACAGAGAGCTCATCTATGGTCTCCCCAGATTAAAACCTCTGTTGGTCTTCACTCCTGCCGGCACATGGGTTTAACCCATTGCACCAACAGGGGCTCCTACAGAGGACCATGACGTCACCAAAAATTGGCTAACAATGACAGAATGGCCATAGAATGGTCTGGATACTATTGGACAGTCTAGATTGGAATGGCTCTCTGTCAGGATGGCTTTGATTACATTTTCTTGCCCTGGTGAAGTGAGTTGGACTGGATGACCTTAAGTATTTTCTATTAGTCATGGGAGTTCTGTGTGGGAAGTTTGTCCCAATTCTATCGTTGGTGGGGTTCAGAATGCTCTTTGGTTGTAGGTGAACTATAAATCCCAGTAACTACAACTCCCAAATGTCAAGGTCTATTTTCCCCAAACTCCATCTGTATTCATATTTGGGCATATGGAATATTCATGCCAAGTTTGGTCCAGATCCACCATTGCGTGGGGGTGGGGGGGCTTCAGGCCCCCCCCCCCGAAATTCTCATGGTGGTGTGCGAAAAGGCCTTACTGGTGCATTATTTAAACTGTTATGTTTATTCATATCATGATCTGATCACCATACTCAATATATCCCATATGCATGGGGGTATTGGGGTAATGATACAAAAGGTTTGCTAGGCTAGACCCTCTTTCACTCAGACTCAGCCCCCCCAAAACTCAGCCCCCCCCCCCAAACCCCCCCAAAAAATTCAGCCCCCCCCTCCCCTCAAAACAAAATCCTGGCTACAGGCCTGTCCAGATCCATCATTGTTTGAGTCCACAGTGCTCTCTGGATGTAGGTGAACTACAATTCCCAAACTTAAGGTCAATGCTCACCAAACCCTTCTAGTGTTTTCTGTTGGTCATGGGAGTCCTGTGTGCCACGTTTGGTTCAATTCCATTGTTGATGGAGTTCAGAATTACAACATTAGAGGAAATGTGGATGCCTCATAAATTTCATATGGTTTTCTTAGTCAAGAAGATGGTTTTGCTGTTTCCTTCCTCTGAAATAATAGCCTGCAAAACCTGGCATTCATTGTCAGTCTCCTATCCAAGTACGACTAAGTATGACCCTGCTGAATTTTAAAGATCAGATAAGATCCGATACCTTAAGGGCAGTGTTTCTCAAACTCTGCTCCTCCAGGGATTGGACTTCAGCTCCCAAAACCCCCTGCCAGTTCACCATTTGTTAGGAATTGTCGGACCTGAAGTCCAAAATACTATTTGTATAAGGTATTTGGGGGCTTCATACTGGAGGTAATCTCTACATCAATAAAATATGATTCTTTAAGTACTAGATTGGAAAGAGATGCATACATGGTGGTACTCTGAATTTGAGAGTATAGATAAATAAAGAAATTGAGATTATTGGGTAATACAAGACATAGGTGTGCCCACATTGCTCATGTAAAGCAGACATTAAGAAAATGAGATCGAGTCAAAAGAGCCAAAGATCCAGTCAGAGTAGGTGTGACCAACTCCTGGCTGGTGATGAATTAGCAAATCAAGATTAACAGTGTACACAAAACGCCTAAACACAGACAATGACCTTTTGTCGTAAATGAGCCACTCCTACTCATTTTGAGCCCAAATCAGTTGGTGTCAGATCTGTAAATAAATCTCAGCTCACAAAGGAATCTCCCTTTGGAAAACTTTAAAAGCTTTCATGTGAATACGCGAACCTTTCAATTTCTAGTCCATCTTGCAGTTTTTCTCATCCAATTTTGCATTCTAATATTTATGAATTAATCTGTGATATCCTTTGCATTCTATTCACACATGATTTTGTAGTGTGTTTTGCATCATGTATGCATTCCTTCACAGTATCAATCTTTTCTCAAAATCCTTGTGGAAAATAATACAGTGCAACAGTTGAGATCTGTATCAAAACATGGAGGATTTGATTAGATTTTAGCTATAGGATTTAAGTTATAACTAACATTTCCCACTGACTTCTATGCAGCATAAGTTCACCTAACTTACCTTTCTCATAGAAATGGGAAATCAGATTAATTGTTATGTTTAGATCCACACATGTAGCAGAAAGGTAAGGATCAAATTATATCTTGTCAGAATTCAAGATCAAATTCCTCAAGCAACCTAATTATGTTATAGAACAGCGTTTCTCAACCCAGGGGTCAGGACCCCTGAGGTGGTTGCGAGTGTGTGTCAGAGGGGTTGCCAAAGACCATCAGAAAGCACAATATTTTCTGTTTGTCATGGGGGTTTTGTGTGGGAATTTTGACCCAATTCTATTGTTGGGGTTCAGAATGCTCTTTGATTGTAGGTGAACTATAAATCCCAGCAACTACAACTCCCAAATGTCAAAGACTATTTTTCCCAACCTCCAACAGTGTTCACATTTGGGCATATTGAGTATCCATGCCAAGTTTGGTCCAGATCCATCATTGTTTGAGTCCACAGTGCTCTCAGAATGTAGGTGAACTACAACTCCAAAACGCAAGGTCAATGCCCACCAAAACCTTCGAGTATTTTCTGTTGGTCATGAGAGTTCTGTGTGCCAAGTTTGGTTCACTTCCTTTGTTGGTGGAGTTCAGAATGCTCTTTGATTGTCGGTGAACTATAAATCTCAGCAACTACAACTCCCAAATGACAAAATTAATGCCCCTCCATTTCCACCAGTATGGACGAATCAGACATTTGTGCCAAATTTGGTCCAGTGAATGAAAGTACATCCTGCATCTCTGATATTTACATTACGTTTCATAACAGTAGCAAAATTAGTTATGAAGAAGTAATGAAAATAATGCTATGGTTGGGGGTCACCACAACATGAGAAACTGTATTAAGGGGTAATTAGGCACTAGGAAGGTTGAGAAACGCTGTTCTAGAATATTTCAAAAAACTATCATTCTCTCCACACTGGTTTCCATATTTCCCATTTTTAATATCTCAATGCATCTCTTGAAATTCAGTCTCTTATTTTGTCCTTGCAGGAAGGCACCTCACATCTGATATTCTACAAAAGCTGGAGGTTCCCATCATCAGCACCAACAACTGCAATGCCCTGTACAACCAAGGTTCCAGAGAGCTTGAAGACACAAAGGATATTAAAAGGGACATGATATGTGCTGGTTTTGCGGCTGGGAGACGAGATGCCTGCCAGGTGAGAGCCAGCTCAGCTTTAGTCAATTATAAAAAGAATGGGAAATAGATGTTTATTTTACTACATTTCCCAGATGCTACAGGTGGAAAATTGATGGTAATCCCCCAAATTAATATATCCAAGATCTGATTGTAGTATTGTAGGATTAGACAAGTGCTCAGATTACAAAATGACATGTGGAGCTTTCCATCACCTTTCATAACATTACACTTAGCTTTCTGATTTTAGAAATTGTTTGAATCCCAGGATTTGACTATCACAGAAATTAAGCCATGGGCACAAAGATTTGATTAAGAACTCCGTATATACGTAATTTGGACACATGATTCAGATGCAGCAGCATCAGCCTGAGACCACTGCCATTACTGAGATTCATTGCCAATAGACTAGGATCTCCATTCTGGGCCTCCAGTAGTCATTGTTATTGCCACCCTCCAAAGATGCCATGCTTCTGAATGTTATGTCATTCTCTGGCATTGTGGGTATAGAACATGGTGAGCACTATGCTTTTTCATAGTAGTCACTGTGCTCATCATCAATCTATATAAATAAAAATGTAATGTTTGTTTGTGGGATTAACATAACCCAAAAACCACTGGACAAATTGACACCAAATTTGGACACAATACTTACCTATCAGGCCAACGAGTGACCATCACTCATAAAAACACTGAAAAACACACCAGAGGAAACTTTAAAAGCCAAAAAACAAAAAATACATCACAACACATGTGCAAAACCACATATATATACGCAAACACACATATACACAAATATATACACACATATATACACAGACAAAACACATATACACAGACTGGGCTACAGCAATGTGTGGCAGGGGATGGCTAGTAGTACTATAAACTCCTGTATAGATTACTGCAACATGCTCTACGTGGGGTTGCCTTTGAAGACTGTTCAGAAGCTACAAATGTTCCAACAGGCGCAAGCCAGGTTTCTAACAGGAGTGGCATACAGGGAGCATACAACTCCATTGTTACATCAGCTCCACTGGCTGCCAATCTGCTACCAAGCACAGTTCAAAGTGCTGGCTTTGACCTATAAAGCCCTAAACAGTTCTGGCCCAGCATACCTATCTGAATGTATCTCCCTCTATGATCTACCACAGTTAAGATCTTCTGAGGAGGCCCTGCTCTCAATCCCTTCTTCTTCTCAGGCATGTTTGGCAGGGAGGAGAGGTAGGGCCTTCTCAGTGGTGGCCCCTCGGCTATGGACCTCCCTTCCCAGTGAAATTAGGGTAGTCCCCTCCCTCCTGACCTTCAGGAAGAAAGTTAAAACTTGGTTATGGGACCAAGTTTTTGGCTAACGAGCTATTGCAATATGAATATACAGAATTGTGAAATGACTAATGGAATGGCTTTGGATTTGACTCTGGATGATGTGATTTTAATAATTGTTTTAATGCTGTTGTTTTTTTGAGTTTTAATGCATATATTTATTTTTATTTATTATTTATTTAAAACATTTATATTCCCCCCCCCCCCCCCCTTCTCACCCTGACGGGGACTCAGCATATATACGGCAAACATTCAATGCCAGGACATGATATCATTAGATGCATAGCATACATAAACATTAAAAAACATTTGTCTTAATATTAAAATACACTGTTTAAAACCCGTCTTGATCATCTGCGTCTGATCTAATTGGCCTGGTAAGGTATCACTGCTTTATTGCACTGTATTTATGTATATGTACAGCATCAAAATACTGCCTTTTGTGAGCCACTCTGAGTCCCCCTGCTGGGGTGAGAAGGGGGGAATATAAATGTAGTAAATATATAAATAAATACATAATGGGCCATTGCCTTTCAGGAGAATTTAGGTGGGGGCCACAACGGTGACTGTGGGGCATCCATTGGTGTGCCAAAGGTCCATCAGCCTTAGAATTGACATGGACTCAGTTCCTCTTTCAAATTAGTGAAGGGTTCCCACTGCTGATTTGATCACAAACATAATTATTATTGTTTATTCTCATGTACAACGGCATCTCCTCCTATGGCTATACCTACATTTCTTATAATCTGCCCACATTCTTTTTTGCACAGGGTGATTCTGGAGGCCCTCTGGCCTGCCAGTTGGGAGACTGCTGGCTCCTTGCTGGCGTGGTCAGCTGGGGAGAAGGCTGTGCACAGAAGAACCGTCCAGGGGTCTATGCCCGTGTCACCTTTTACCAATCCTGGATTCACAGTGTCATACCGGAGCTAAAGTTCACAAGTATCAGGGGCCATTGGACAACAGTGAACAACAAAGGTGCCACCAGCAGTGCATCAACTGGCAGTTTTAGCCTCCTCTCTGCCATTTTTGCCACTATAGTTTTGCTATTATCTTCGTAGTAGACTCTACAGAGAAAACAGATTGGTTTTCCTTGGATTGCTTTTTTAGCTAAATCTACTTGAAATAAATAATCAGACTCATATTTGCCAATGAGACCATGAAGGAGATGTCAGCTACTCAACTTTTAAGAAGAGTGTACAGAAATATGCATTATTTTATCTGGAAACTCAGATTTACGGGTTATGTTGCTGTTCTTAGAACAGCAACAGGACCAGATTTTGTTCAAACTGACTAGAGCCTAAAATATACATCCAAACATAGTTTTCAACCTTGAGGAGCTGTTCCCAACCCATCAGGGATATTATCTATGGTGGACAGGACATTTTACCTAACTCTCACCATTTGCTCCAGACTTACTGAAAAACAGCAAGGATTATCTGGGAAAATGTCATTTTCATGTACGCACAATGTCCTGGATACACCATACTCCACTGGAGCATTGTGGACACTGTAACTATAATGACTGTCATCTTTTAATCACTCACCATTAACAATGGTCTTCCCAGAATATAGAAAAGTTATGTTTGGTCTACAGCTTTCAGAATAACCTAGCCAATATGTCTCCTGTTTATGATGGTTAAGACAAGTAATCCAGAAATAACATTCTCCAGCTTTTGGTGCAGTTGATACTTAACATCATTAACTCCATCAACTCTACGATTGAGGGTACAGGCAGTCCCCAAGTCATGAGCAAGATAGATTCTGTATGTTTGTTCTTAATTTAAATTTGTATGTAAGTTGAAACAAGTACATTTTTAAGTGTAACTCCATATATATATGGAGTTACACTTATATATATGGAGCCCATAGTGGTGCAGTGGGTTAAACCGCTGAGCTGCTGAACTTGCTGATCAAAAGATTGGCAGTTAGAATCCGCGGAGCAGGGTGAGCTCCAGCTTCTGCCAACCTAGCAGTTTGAAAACATGAAAATGTGAGATCAATAGGTGCCACTCCGGCAGGAAGGTAACGGCGCTCCCTGCAGTCATGCTGGCCACATGACTTTGGAGTTGTCTACAGACAATGCCAGCTCTTCGGCTTAAAAATGGAGATGGGCACCACCCCCCAGAGTCAGACACAACTAGACTTAATGTCAAGGGGAAACTTTTACCTCTCTCTCATATATATGGGGCTTTGGATAGCATAGGAAAAGGTTAATGCCCACGTGGTGTTTGTTTTGCTGCCTGTGCCCCTGTTCAGAACATTTTACCTCCATCCCTGTGATAATTGGATTTTGAAAAAATTGGCTTGTTTTGGAAACAAGGATTGGTAATAAAACTTCAGTGGAGACCCCTTTTTCCCATGATTACTCTTCCAGAAGTGAATTTCCCTTCCAATGGGCAGATTTCTCTCGTTTCTCTCACTTCCTGTTGTCTCACCTCCGTTCTTAAATATAAGTCACTTGTAAGTTGGATGTTTATAACTCAGGGACTGCCTGTATTAGTGGACTCTATTTTTATAATGTGGGAAGAATAGTTTCATGAAAGTTGTATTCTGGTGAGGCTCTAGCACTCTTTGGTAGAGAAGGCTAAAAACCTTGTAAAACTACAACTACCATGATTTTATGGCATTGAGTCATGGTGGTTCAAGTTATGACAAACTGCATTAATAATATAGTATAGAGGCACCCCAGGATGTCAGGATTTTTGAATGTTTTCTTTCTTAATTTACTGAATATATGATATTACACAATGCTGTATCTAGCAATGACTACCTCCGTATTTGGAGATTGACTACCTCTAGATCCCAACGTCTGCTTCCACAAACATTCTCGCCATGCTGAGTTCATGGTATGCCTTCATGGTTCGCTGACAGTGCAGCAATTTAGTAATGTTATGATTTGGGGCTGATATTTTTATTATATTAAAATTAATTAAAATGGAATAAGATAGCATGGCAGCATTCTTCTAAGGATGGCTTGGACATCTACCCCAATGTCATGTCCTGGTAGGACAGTTCTTTCCTGAATGACTAGCATGGTGTATATATGAATGTATACATGTATTTATGTTCTTATTTATTGTAACACTTGATGTATTTTATTTTGCAACATTCACACAACTCCTCAACAAAGTCTTTTTTACTTGGCCAATGGAGCCCCATCCAGTATATGACTCCCACAGATCATTGCCTCTCTCCTTCCTGTTTGCACAATAAACTCTTTGAACCTGAACGCCCAAAATGAACTAGATTTCTCTCTGACCTGAGCTGACCCTTACCTGAGATGACCTGCAGAGACAGGAATGTGCTACATTAGCCTGCATTAGGAAAACATTTCCAATGGGGAGGGGAAAACATTTCTAGGAGGAAAGTGTTTTTATTCTGTGTATGAATACACACAAAGATGAGACATCCTGACTACTGCCTTTACCAGATTCTTGGTATCCTCCACCCTCTTTCCTCGAAGCTGTTCACCTTAAATTGTCAAGCTATCATCGGATTTAAGCATAGCAAGTGTCACCAAGTGACAGCTGGTTTAACAGACCCTTCCACTATTTGTTTCTTTCCACCAAAACCAGTCCATCGAGGATTATCAGACCTCAAAGCCTTGCACAGGTGCTCAGGCCCTGGACCTTTTTTGGTTCTCAGATCAATCTGCAGTCAGAGTCATACTAGCTATACTAGCTATATGTTCTGCAAGGCACACCTGGCAAATACCGAGATTAGTTTCAAATTTCCTCTCTAATTAGGACAGTTTGAGGACTCCTTCCCCACAATATTTTATTTTCTGGTGTATAAGACTACTTTTTAATCCAGGAAAATCTTCTCAAAAGTCGGGCGTCGTCTTATACACCGGGTGTCATCTTATAGGGCAAGTGCTGAAACTTCTGAGCTGAACTGGAGAATCTGTGATCACTGCATATGGTGGGGAAAGCTCAAAAACGGTTATGGCCACATCCCTGCTGTATGCAGTGACCGTATGAAAGCAGCAAGGGCAGAGCTGTAGAAGTACGGTAGAAGAAAATCTACTCACCAGGATTCCTGGAAAAAAGTGACTTAACAGAGTCCCAATGACAAGGAGAGGGGGCACTTCACCGGGAAGGTGTAAGTGAAGGGTGGAGCAAGCTGCAAGCATCTGGGATGTCCGGTGTATGGAAAAAAGAGATAGAGTGGCACTGTGCCCAGAAAAACACACCTCTTTCACCCATTTCCCCACTCTTATATCCTATTACCATACCTCCTTCTCTGCCTCTCAGATCTTGCTCCTGAGGACTGCAGTGAAGAAGCTCAGGTGCGCATGTGCGAGATCTGAGAGACAGAGAAGGAGGTACAGTAATAGGAAAATTACCATATTGAAATCAAATCTGATGGGTTTTTTAAAAAAAATTCATTTGGTGTGCATTGAAAGAGGGGTAGTCTTATACAGCGAGTACATCCCAAACTCTATATTTTAACTGGAAAATTGGGGGTCGTCTTATACGCCCAGTCGTCTTATATGCTGGAAAATATGGTACTTTTTTCTCATGGTGACACATGAGAGAAGATCATCACAGTGGGAGAGTCTGGCTTTTATACTATGGTTGGCATCCTGTAGGGGAAAGCATTCTGGAGGTTCTTATCTTCTTCCTCCTTCTTGAATATAATAAGCACAACTCAACAATGTACTAGGATAGCCCCCACCATGGCCATTCTGTTGCCGGTGGAGAAGAGCGGGGGGTCAAAACAGTGTCTGGTTATGTTATCATGGCTAGAAGCAAAGCAAAGGCACCAGCAGATCTCAAGGCAGATGTCCTCATTATGTTCCCCGCTATAGGGACAAAGCCAGATGTTTCTTTACCAGTCTTCACCAGCAATAAAATGGCCATAAGGTGTACAGTAATAGCATGATAGTGAGCACTGGCTGCTGTTAAGTTTTGCACACACAAATCTGAGGTTACCCTCAACTACCCCAGCTCCCAAAAGAGAAATTCGGATATCACAGATTGTGCAAATATGCATATATTCACTAGTTTACATGAGTAGCACCATATGGAACACAATGCAAGAGTCCCATTTCCAATGTAAGGGATAATTCTGAGACAGGTGAAGAGATGTATGGCAGTTTTTGAACTGAAGAAGTCCTGCTCCTTCATGGATAAGCGTTCTTCATAGCCTCACCTCTAGCATGGCTGTAAGTCCATAAAGTTGTAATTATTGTGATGACCATGACCATGACCATGATGACAATGACAACAATTACCATAATGACAAAACATAGACCCGCCTAGAACTTTCTCAAATCCATTCAAAAAGAACTAGGCTTCTAAGATGTCAACTAGGATTTATGATAAAACAGCAGAAGCCATCAGATTACCAATAATCTTCAGACAATTAAAAAAGTCTTCCCAGTCTCATCTCCATTGAGATTGAAGTCTATAAAGGCAATGTTTTGATGACTGCGATGATGATGATGATGATGATGATGATGATGATGATGATGATGATGTTGATGATGATGATGACGACGATGACGACAAAATATGGAACTTTCAATAACTTTCCAAATCCCATCCATTCAGAAAGAACTAGACAGATTTGTCATGGAAGGTATCTTTTTCCATAGCACTTCATCTCCACGAGGTAAACACTGGAACGCCCTACTATCCTTCTATTTCAGAAGGATCCCAATGAAGGACATGGCTGTCAGCAGAAGAAAAAAACTGAAATCTGTATGGAACAGGCTGGAAGCAGAATTAGATGGTCTAACTTTGTTGTAGGTGATATTTACGAGGCCAAACTGGGCTCTGGGATAGTGTTTCTTTATCCAGTCCTCATAGAAGCTGACAAGGGTGTAAACACCTGGGCGGTTGGGAAGGGCACACATGTCACCCCAGCTCACGATTCCTGCCACATAATAGGCACCATTGTCTTGGCAGACCAAGGGACCACCAGAGTCACCCTAGGTTGAAAAAGGAAGACAGTGAACATCCAGAGTATCCCAGACCACATATTCCTAATCCATTCATATATCCTTTTATTTATATTCCACCCTAGATTTAAGTCGTTGACGTGCTGGCTGATACCCAAACAGGGGATGAGCTGGAGATGTCTCTGCCTTGGTCCTTTCACTATTGGCTGCTACTTCCCGGCGGATGTCAGGTGGTGCAATACCGGCTAAACAGTGTAATTTCTCCAGTGGTGTAGGGCACAGACACCCTGTGATAATGCGGCATGTCTCATTAAGAGCCACATCCACTGTTTTAGCGTGGTGAGATGTGTTCCACACTGGGCATGCATACTCAGCAGCAGAGTAGCATAGCGCAAGGGCAGATGTCTTCACTGTGCCTGGTTGTGATCCCCAAGTTGTGCCAGTCAGCTTTCGTATGATACCCTGTTTGGGTATCAGCCAGCACGTCAACAACTTAAATCTAGAAATAGTTTTCTAAGATCTACAGAGACACTCGCTGGAACACCTCAGCAAGCGAGAGTCCAAAAGTGGCAGGCTCAAACCCAGAACCTCAAGCCATGGCTGATACCAAATGAGAGACTCCCCCCTGGGCACACAGAAGACTGGGCGACTTGAAAGGTGCTGAACAGACTGTGCTCTGGCACCACGAGATGCAGAGCCAACCTTCAGAAATGGGACTACAAAGTGGAATCCACAACTTGTGAGTGTGGAGAAGAGCAAACTACAGACCACTTGCTGCAATGCACCCTGAGCCCTGCCACATGCACAATGGAGGACCTCCTTGCAGCAACACCAGAGGCACTCCAAGTGGCCAGCTATTTATTATTTATTTACTGGTCAAAGGACATTTAATCAACTACCAAGCTTGCAAATTTTGTATTTTGTCTGTTTGTTTGTTTTGTTCTGTTAGAATTGTAATACAATTGACTGGTTGCCCTGACATGACAAATAAAATAAATATCCCACCCTTCTCCCTAATGGGATTTACAATACAAAATGGAAGAAAATGCAATAAAACACATAAAGACCTACAAATTTAAGATTGAAATTATATTCCATGTTATGATCAACCGCATCCTAATGTCCCACCATTATAAAGATATATCTCCTTATACAAAACTATATCTTAGTTTCCCCTTTTCTTGCACCTAATAAAAGCAAATGTGAGTAGATCAATAGGTACAGCTCCAGTGGGAAGGTAACAGCGCTCCATGCAGTCATGCTGGCCATATGACCTTGGAGGTGTCTACAGACAATGCCGGCTCTTCAGCTTAGAAATGGAGATGAGCACCAATGCCCAGAGTTGGACACAACTAGTTAGGAGAAGTATTCCAATGGAACTTTGAGCATAATTCCTATTATCTCAGAAAATAAAGCACTACCAATTCCAGCTCAGCATCAGATCTCCTCCCAGCAAATGGCTTCTTGTTAATCCAATCCTAAATTATTCCCTACACTATCAATAGTGTTCCATCATATAAATCAGCCTTTCAACCTGGCACCTTCCAAATAAACTGAACTACAAATTCCAGAAATAGCCACCTCTGCTGGGAGAAAGACATCCAGTTGAAGCCTCACTTACCACACAAGCATCTTTCTTTCCAGTTTCATAGCCAGCGCAAATCATATCATCCTGGATCTCTCGGGTATTTGGATTAATACTTGTACCAATATGGTACATCTCATCACACTTCATTGTGTCTATCAAGGGCAGCCTGATCTGTTGCAATGTCATTGGTCCTCCAAGGGAAGCTTAAAGTACAAATGGCAGGGAAAGAGGAAATTAGAAATGTGAGCTCTGGCTTGAAAGGGGTATGATACACACACACACACACATTCATTTGTTATGCTTTGGTGTTCTTTTATTTGAATAGCATATATTTGATAGATCAGTTAACATAAAAGGGATTTTTAAAATAATAAAACAACTTTCAGCTAAGCACCTTAGTCCTTAACCTTTCCAAGAGTTGCCAAAAGTAACTAATGGCTTTCTTCTTGTTTCTCCTTGTCTCTCACCCACCAAAGCAGTATGTAAAATTTATAACAAAATACAAAATACAAAATTTGAAAAACCAACATTGTCTCATTTTTCCCTTTATATTCAACAAAACAGTTCCAAATCACAACAAAATTGTGTTTTTCTTTCTTTCCTTTGGCTATTTGAACATGGATAGTTAATTTTGCCATCAGAAGTAGTTATACCATACTGTCACAAACTGTCCCTTTAAATGTATTGTCGAAGGCTTTCATGGCTGGAATCACTCAGTTCTTGTGGGTTTTTTCGGGCTATATGGCCATGTTCTAGAGGCATTTCTCCTGACGTTTCGCCTGCATCTATAGCAAGCATCCTCAGAGACCTCACCTCTGAGGATGCTTGCCATAGATGCAGGCGAAACGTCAGGAGAAATGCCTCTAGAACATGGCCATATAGCCTGAAAAAACCCACAAGAACTGAGTATCCCTTTAAATCTTTTTAAGATCTAACAATGATCAATCTGGCGATTTAATATTGTCACTAGAACTTTAATGGCTGAACTATGCTGAGGCTAGAATGCTGTACTATTCGTTTTAATGGTAATAATTAGTACTGTGTTTGTTGATTTTTAAATTGGACTTTTTGTAATGTGTTGTAGTTATCTTAACTGATGTTGTTATTGTTTAATATGATGATGTAATTTTACCTCTATTTTTATGTGTTATGGCACTTGCATGTGCTTCTGTAAGCTGCCCTGAGTTCTTTCTGGGAGATGGTGGCGGGATATAAATAAAGTTATTATTATTATGATTTGATACATAACAAGATTAGTACACATCAAACAAAATCACTATGCTGACATATATTGGATCACACATCAGACACTTCCCAAGTGCCAAGGACTATGTGATATATTAGCGAATAATGAGTGCAGATCTGAGTAGGGTGGCCTTTTGCAGCTACAGTTGGGAATTTTGACAGAGCTGATTGTTTTTAAGTTCAGGCCAAAGTCCTTAGGTACTGCACCCAGCATGCCAATCACCAATGGAACCACCTTTACTGGCTTGTGCCAGAGTTATTATTATTATTATTATTATTATTATTATTATTATTATTATTATGATAAATAACCACTTACAATGTATTGTCGAAGGCTTTCATGGCTGGAATCACTTGTGGGTTTTTTCAGGCTACATGGCCATGTTCTAGAGGCATTTTCTCCTCTGAGGATGCTTGCCATAGATGCAGGCGATACGTCAGGAGAAAATGCCTCTAGAACATGGCCATATAGCCTGAAAAAACCCACAAGAACCTAACCACTTACAAGTTTGTGAGATTCCTAGATTTTTGTTCTTTAAAAAAAAGCCCAGAAAGGCCAAATTTTGAGTCTTTTGAAGATGCTGGTTAGTGATCATAATTATTTCAGAAAAGACTGCATTCCTGATTTTAGCTACTTGACCACAGTACCACCACAAATAACATGCTTAGAAAGTCTCCTTACCTCCGTATGATGGGGCTCCCCATCCTGTCACCCAACAAAAGGTGCCATTCGAGAACTTGACCCTAGCATCTGGAAGGCAGGCCGGCAGGATGCTTTCAGTGAAGTGGACTGGACGTTCCAACTGGGCTAGAGCTATATCACCACTGGTCCCATCCCCAGCATAGGCCTTGTGTGCAAACACTTTTGAAAGCTTCACCCATTGAGCATTCTTTTCCGGATTCAAAAGCTGGTAGTTTCCCAGGTTGACTTGATAGTCAGAGAATCTCACATTGCTGTGGAAAGAATATCACATTGCTGTGGCAAGGTGGGGAGTGAACATGTAACAAGGAATTCTACCTAAACATTAGGAAGAACTTCCTGACAGTAAGAGCTGTTTGACAGTGGAATATGCAGCTCGGAGGATGGTAAGAGTCTCCTTCTCTTGAGGTTTTTAAGCAGAAGCTGGATGGCCATCTGTCAGGGATGCTTTGATTCTGTGTTCATGCATGGAATATTGGGGTTGGACTGGATGGCCCTTGTGGTCTCTTCCAACTCTATAATTCTATGTTACAGATGGATTGATTCTATCCAGGAAGCCACTGGTGATGAGACCACACGGACTTCTTTCAGTCATTGCACTGCTGTACATTGAATTATATCTGGTGACAAACAACAACAATGGCAACAAAGTCTGAATATAGGCTCAGTGCCATAAATGTATGCCATATGGTGTACCTTGTCACCTATTCCATTCCATTCCATTCCCCCATAACAACAGTTTACCTCATCTCACGTCATCTCAACAATTTGCCATACTTTTGTGGCAATGAAATCTTTCATTGGCTATACAAGGAGTTTCTCCTAGAGAACGTGTTCCCCCAAACACCTTGGGATTCCCTCAGTTTGCTGATATTTTGGGGATCATCAGCTTCCAGCATTTCACAAATTAAAACTGGAACATATGTGGCCAAGCAACATCTAATTGTGGTCAAAAACATATGGCTAATGAAAAAGAGCACAGAAAACTATTACATTTTTCTGGTTCCCAGGGTCTTGCAATGGATTAAACCTTTTTGCTGGCAGGACTGAAGACCAACAGGTCACAGGTTCGAATCCAGAGAGGGTGCGGCTGAGCTCCAGTTACAGCTTTCCATGTGGGGACATGAGAGAAGCCTCCCACAAGGATGATAAAACATCAAAACATCCGGGCATCCCCTGGAAAACATCCTTGCAGGCAGCCAATTCTCTCACATCAGAAGTGACTTGCAGTTTCTCAAGTCGCTCCTGACATGAAAAGAATACAAATGATGCCCTGAGTCTGTGACTGGCTATGGGACATAACAAAATGACTTTCCATCCCCACCTCCTGATCTCCATCAGCTATGCAATAGGCATTCCGTGGGGCTATCGTGGCAAAACTGTGAGTCAAGCCAACTTTATGGTCATTGGCTTACCTTGGAAAACAGTGGGCTGCAGTCAGAACCCAATCAGCACTGATGAGTGTCCCCCCACATGCATGCTTCCCCTTGTACTGAAGGCTGATTTGCCATGGCCAGGCACCCCGAGAGGCGTCTTCTCCCCCAACAATACGGTTTTTGGTTTTTGTCACCACCTGGCCACATGCTGTCAAAATAGATATATGTGTAAGTGAAAGAAAGCATGCAAGCAAGCAAGAAAGACCTGTTCTGCAATTTTCCGGTTTCTCACCTTTTGGCTAGAAATAAATACGTTCACCAGATGATGTAAAATAACAACAACAACCTGCAGCTTACATGTAAATCATGCATACTGTCATCCCACCATACCAATGGGTTCTGCACTGAAGGATTCAATCAATCAAGGCTCAAAATGTTTAAGAAAAACAATTAAATAATGCAAACTTTGATTTTGCCATTTTATAAAAGGAACCCATTTTTAACATGCCTTTGTATGTAATGGGACTTGAGTATTCATGGATTTTGCTATCTACATGAGCTCCTGGAATCAAACTCCAGTGTCTATGAAGGGTACACTGTAGGTAAATTCATATCATACAGAAGTAAAATGTAATTAAATTATCAAATAAACAACCCCATTAAATGCAAAGACTTTAAAATGACAAATAAAATTCCAACAATTTTACAAAGTGCCTCCTCATCCCCACACACAGTTTTCAAAGCCTTATCAAAATAAAAAATCTTCATATTCTCCTTCACTATTCAGAAAAATGAGGAAAAAGGTGCCAAAGACTGGAACTTTTGTCTTTTGTTCCACTTTCTTGCCCATCAGGCACTGGAATCTGATTAAGTGATAGCTACTCAAACAAACAACATGAAGTCAGTAGTGGCTAGAGGCTCTTATATTAATGGCTCTGAGAATAAATCCACTTTCATTTACTTAAAGGAATTCTCCAAGATGGTGAACCTATATCAGGTCATATGGTTTAGCACCTTAGATAACTTATTTTAGCTTTAGGATTACATTCACTTTATCAATCCCATGGTATCTACCAGCCACTGGAGGACCAATTTGGTTCTGACCCAATCCTCCTCCTCCTCCTCCTCCTCCTCTTCTTCTTCTTCTTCTTGCTATTATTATTATTATTATTATTATTATTATTATTATTATTATTATTATTATTATATGGGCCCCCTGATGGCGCAACAGGTTAATCCACTGAGCTTCTGAACTTGCTGACCAAAAGGTCAGCGGTTTGAATTCGGGGAGTGGGGTGAGCTGCTGCTGTTAGCCCCAGCTTCTGCCAACCTAGTAGTTCAAAAACATGCAAATGTGAGTAGATCAATAGGTACTGCCCCGGTGAAAAGGTAATGGCACTCCATGCAGTCATGTCAGCCACATCACTTTGGAGGTGTCTATGGACAATGCCAGCTCTTCGGCTTAGAAATGGAGATGACCACCACCCCCTAGAGTCAGACACAACTAGACTTAATGTAAGGGGAAACCTTTACCTTTACCTTATTATTATTCTATTTAAGAGATCTGGTTCAGCACCATGGATAGCTCATATAAAATCAGAGTGAATTCACCATGTTCATGGTCCACATCAATGAAGATATTGCAATTATCAGCTTGTTTTATAGCAGAGCTCCTGTGCTTTTAAATACTAAAACTTTATAAGCAGAATTTTTTAGTGCTATTGCTTCAACCCCAGAGCTTCAACCAATTTGTGCTGCAGCTAAACACTTACTTATTGACTTGCCATCCTCAGTACCTCCTACAAAGAAATAGTGGGAAGAAAAGAGAAGAAAACAAGACTTATTATGACTGCTCAATTAAAAGGAAGCCATTTTCAAAAAACAAAACTGGAACCAATTCAAGGAAATAAACAAGCTTATCTCATACTTTTAGCAACATAGTGGGGAAGGGATGGGGAATTTTAAACCCACTTACATTTTTCAATCATTAACTGCTCAAAAGTCTAATGGCTTATTATCAATGAACAACAAAGTCATTATGGTGTCCTTCCTGAGCTCTAAAACTCAGATTTGCGTCTGCCCCAATACTGTTTAAAATGGGTTGTGGGATATAACATGAAGAATGGCTGATCCACAGAAGGGGCCTTATATTTTTCTCTGTTTTCCTCCAATAGGGATTATATATCCAAAACTAAATATTGGCCAGTACTAGTACATACTGGCAGAGGAGGCTGGAGAAAGATTAGCTGCTTCAACATCCTCAGCCTTAACACCTTCTTGAATACTGATGTTGGACTGCCCTGGGATTGGGTCCAATACTTGGCCCAAACATGCTATCCTCACAATCCAGTTGCTCCTGGGAATAGTTTAGTAGGTTCAAAACCCCAAATCAGCTCTGCAACACATTGCAGGTGGTGGCTCCATGGCATAACACCAGTTACCAGTCCCAACTCAAGTGACCCATTGAATCAATGTGACTTACATAACTAGCAGAGACGGCCCTAGGTAATTTTCAATGGTAAGCAAACAGTATTTTGCCCCCCCCCCCAACCAATCACTGATATATATTTTCTGTTCATCATGGGAGTTCTGTGTGCCATATTTGGTTCAATTCCATCATTGGTGGAGTTCAGAATGCTCTTTGATTGTAGGTGAACTATACATCCCAGTAACTACAACTCGCATATGTCAAGGTCTGTTTTCTCCCAAGAGGACCTCAAGAGCGCCCCTGGGCAAAATAAACTATACTGCAAATGCTTACTTTGAGTAATGGGTTGAGCTGCCCCTGAAAACTAGTGAGTTACCATTATCTATTGAATGAATAATTCTCATCTAGTTGGAACTAACAAGTGGATTTAAACTTAAGGTTCCTCTATTTTCAAAGCAAAGGTGACAAGTTTAAGCATGCATTGTTACTTTGAACATATAAGTAACTATACAAGGAGTCTGGTTCTCAGGGCTTTTTGTTCTCCCTTACCTTTTTTTTTTTTTTTTACTATAGGTAGGGTTTGAAAGACATCACAACCAACATACAATTGGCACTGTATCCATGGATTTTAACCATCCATGGTTTTAAAATATATTTTTTAAATTCCTCAAGGCAAACTTTGAATAATACAATTTTCCATAAGGGAGACTTATGCAATAATGGGAATTGCGCATCCATGGATTTTTTGATCCATGGGCGTCCTAGAACCAAACCCCAGTAGATACTGAGGGCTCACTGTATATTTAAAAATCAGGTGCTTTTCTGTGCTTGTACATGTTTACACATACAATAATTCCACACGAGGAGGGAATATAGCCTAATCCAGACCTCTTTTTATATTACATATTAGCCATAGCCTTTTGAGTGTTTTTCTTTCTGTTTGGCTTACTTATCTGTATCTGTTTTAATTTATATGGCAGCTTAAATATTTAAGAGTTTTTTGTTAGAGCAGAACAGGTTACTTTGGGGCAATTATTCTCCCCACAATCGGAGTCCCCTTTTACTTCTGTCTTTCTCAATTCCATCGATACAATGAGAGCTGTGTTTAAAGAGCAACAGAGAAACCTGAACATTTCCTCAGCAATTATGCCTGGGGGGGGGGGGGCAAGACAGCATATTTATTTCAGAATTCAAAACACAGTGTTTTTCCCATTGCACGTCCGGTTTGCAAAATACTCACTGTTTTCAGCTTTACTTGCCAAGACACCTGAGTGGAGAATGAAATAAAAGTGATGTCAGAGGCAAAGCTGGAGAACCAGATGGTTAAGTAAAGTATAAATAAGATCAAAGCAGATAAACTAAAAATATTAACATTGAGGGAGGAAAACTACATAAACAAAGATATCCTTTTGAATACTCAGAACCACTGTGGTACAATCAGGGCCAGGTTTGGGAAGCATGACGTTCAGGGAGAACCTTTCATTGGCTTTGTAGTTTATTGTGTATTCAGCAGATGGAAAACTACAAGCAATTGTAACTCTGGATACTTCTACAAAGTAGAATGAATGCAGTTTGACACCACTTTAACTACCATAGCTCGATACTATTAAATCCCAGGATTGGTAGTTTATTGAAGCACCACAACTCTTTGGCAGAAATGGCTACAGTCTTGCAAAGCTAAGGCCCCTTCCACACAGCTGAATGAAATCCCACATTGTCTGCTTTGAACTGTAATATACACCAGTGTGGACTCAGATAACCCTGTTCAAAGCAGATATTGTGGGATTTTCTGCCTTGATATTCTGAGTTATATGGCTGTGTGGAAGGGCCCTAAAACTTCCAGGATTCTATAGCATTGAGCCATGGCACTGCAGATGCACTCTGTGTAGATGCCATACACCAAGGATAGGAGCTGTGTTGCCCTCATATGCTGCTGGCTTCCCTCCCCTCCCCCCCCCCCACGCCAAAAAAAACTCTTGCCAGAGTAGTCAATAGTAAAGAGTGATGGGAACTGTAGTCCAGAGACACTTGAAAATCCAAATAATTCCCTAGATAGAGGATCAGATATGGATCAATTCTCCTTCATCATCCTAACCACCTTTGACCCAACCTTCTGGACTCATCACTATAACATAAACACCTACTAAATCTTATGATTTATATTCAGCTATTTTGAAGATAATGAAATCTAAATCTAATTCAGAGAACTGAGCTACATGAAAGGCAGGAATCATAGAGCCTTCTGGATATGATTGGATTGCGACTCTCAGCAGCCCAAGTCAGTACAACTAATGGTGAAGAATTCTGAGAGTTGCAATACCGCAACGCCCAGGAGTTTGGACAGTTCCAACTTCCATTGGCCTCCAGTAGGTAGAATGTGGTTGGTCAATGATAGGGGAAAATTTCAATCTGGAAAATTTACTTCTTTATTGTGTTGTCGAAGGCTTTCATGGCTGGAATCACTGGGTTGCTGTGAGTTTTTCAGGCTATATGGTCATGTTCCAGAAGCATTCTCTCCTGACATTTTGCCTACATCTATGACAGGCATCCTCAGAAGTTGGGAGGTCTGTTGGAAACTAGGCAAGTGAGGTTTATATTTCTGTGGAATGTCCAGGGTGGGAGAAAGAACTCTTGTCTGCTTGAGGCAAGTGTGAATGTTGCAATTGGCCAGCTTGATTAGCATTGAATGGCCTTGCAGCTTCAAAGCCTTGCTCTTCCTGCATGGTGATTCTTTGTTGGAAGATGTTAGCTGGCCCTGATCAATTCTTGTCTGGAATTCCCCCATTTTATTTACTGTCCTGATTTTAGAGGGGTTTTTAATACTGGTAGCCAGATTTTGTTCATTTTCATGGTTTCCTCCTTTCTCTTGAAATTGTCCACATGCTTGTGGATGTCAATGGCTTCTCTGTATAATCTGACATGGTAAATTGTTGGAGTGGTCCAGCATTTCTATGTTCTCAAATAATACGCTGTGTCCAGGTTGGTTCATCAGGTGCTCTGCTATGGCTGACTTCTCTGGTTGAAGTAGTCTGCAATGCCTTTCATGTTCCTTGATTCATGTTCGGGCAATGCTGGGTTTGATGGTCCCTATGGAGACTTGTCCACAGCTGCATGGTATACTTCTTTATAGTTTCCATTAATCATTGTGCCATTTTTTAAATAATTCATCTGTGGAAATGTTAAAAGGTATGTGGTATCATGAGGGATAGTTTTCATGCCTCCCCTTCCTACTTTCCTTTTGCATCCCTTGCCTTCTTCTCAGCCTAGGAAAGTTTGATCGTTACTTGTGGATTCCAAACCACACCTTTGTATGGTTACAGCTTAGAACAAACAATGGGAACAGAACTTACTGATAACATGCATAGCTGTTGAATGCTTAAGTTTGTATTAATTGCACTTCACTTATCTTAGACATTTTCTTCTCACAAACAGCAAGTGCATTCTCTCCTGGAGTTGCAGTTCAACCTAAAGCCTAAAATTAAACAAAGGAAGGGGGGCTCTACTCCATCTGCCATGTACCTTCTTCACATTATCTCCAAACTGATTCAAAGACCCAACGAGCAACGTTTCTTTCAGTGAAACTTCTTCTAGACATTCTTCCTGGTTGATGTGTTGTTGAAGGCTTTCATGGCTGGTATCACTGGGGTGGTGTGAGTTTCCCAGGCTGTATGACAGCATTTCTCAACCTTCCTAATGCTGTGACCCCTTAATACAGTTCCTCATGTTGTGGTGACCCTCAACGATACCATTATTTTTGTTGCTATTTCACAACTGTAATTTTGCTACTGTTATGAACTGTAATGTAAACATCTGATAGGCAGGATGTATTTTCATTCAGTGGACCAAGTTTGGCACAAATACCCAAAACACCCAAATTTGAACACTGGTGGGGTTGAGAAGGGGGGTATTGATTTTGTCATTTGGGAGTTGTAGTTGCTGGAATTTATAGTTCACCTACAATTAAAGAGTATTATGAACTCCACCAATGATGGAATTGAACCAAACTTGGCACATAGAACTCCAATGACCAACAGAAAATACTGGAAGGGTTTGGTGGGCATTGACCTTGAGTTTTGGAGTTGTAGTTCACCTACATCCAGAGAGCACTGTGGACTCAAACAATGATGGATCTGGACCAAATGTGGCACAAATACACAATATGCCCAAATATGAACACTGGCGGAGTTTGGGGGAAAATAGACCTTGACATTTGGGAGTTGTAGTTGCTGGGATTCATAGTTCACCTACAATCAGAGCATTCTGAATCCCACCAATGATAGAATTGGGCCAAACATCCCACACAGAACCCCCATGACCAACAGAAAATACTGTGTTTTCTGATGGTCTTTGGTGACTCCCCTGACAATCCCCTCAAGATCCCTCCAGGGGTCCTGACCCCCAGGTTGAGAAACGCTGCTGTATGGCCATGTTCCAGAAGCATTCTCTCACAACCTCTGAGGGTGCTTGTATAGATGTGGGTGAAACATCAGGAGAGAATGCTTCTGGAAGATGGCCATACAGAAAACGGCAACCCTTCCTGGGTGAATCTTAATTTTGTTATATTTGGGAAATCCACTCATTGAAATCAATGGGACTTAATTTCATTTCAATGAGTATGAAGGGTGTGTCTACACTGTAGAATTATTGCAGTTTAACACCACTTTACCTACTTTACCTGAGGATTCCATAGTATTGAGTAATGGCAGTTAAAGTGATTTCAACAGCCCAGCCTCATTCCTTGAACAGAATATCCCCCCAGGGATATTGCACATTAGCATTATTGGGTGGAAGGTTCAAATGGGCTGCCTCCATTGAATATAAATTGTCCCATCACCAAAACTGGCCTGCCACTCCTCTGAAAAATAGCATTTTAACAGATACTTAAGTTGTTTATGCCCTGGGGCAGGGAGAGAAATTTCTTAAATTTCATTTCAAAGCAAAGGGAACATTCTTAATATTTATCTACCTAATTTTAAATGACAGATGTGAAAGTGAAGCTGTAGACAACGCTACCTGAAAGTTTGCTGGGAAACAATCTATCTCAAATAGAAACAGAATCCAGGAAAAGAAACAGATTACTTAGATTGGAAGTTACACATACTGAATGAAGGCCTGCTCATGCACAGACTTGGGACACATGTGTGTTCAATGCATTGCATACATGTACAAACTAAATTTGCAAAATTCCTGGCAAAGGGAGATGTTAGAATGAGAATCCATCCAGACAAATTGATTTTTCTTGTTTTTCTGGCTCTTGTTTCTATGTTGGGCCAATGCCCAGTTGGCAGATTTCTCATGGATACTGCATTCCAGTCTACCTCCAGAAAGTTCAAGCTGTCAATTCCCCACATCAGGAATCCTAGCTTCTAGAATCCTAGCTTCTCTGGAGCAGGCATGGGCAAACTGCAGCCCTCCAAGTGTTTTGGACTTCAACTTCCACAATTCCTAACAGCCAATAGGAATGTGGGAGTTGAAGTCCAAAACACTTGGATGGCCGAAGTTTGCCCATGCCTGCTCTAGCATCTAAAAGAGAAACTACTAGTCCATTTCCCACATGAATTCACATTTTTTAAAATTCCAGAGCACAGCTTGTCAAAGTTCCTTTGGTAAATTACAACTTCCACAATACTCTATCCAGTATATCAAAATAAGGAACTTGCATGAATTATATTTCTGAGTAATAAGCCCATATAGATTCTTAAGCCCCACAGATGACTGCATAAATTTCTGCAGTAGCACAAAACAATGAAGCTAGGGACCACTTCTACACTGCCACATAAAATCCAGATTATCTGCTTTGAACTGGATTATATGACAGTGTAGACTCCTATAATCCAGGTCAAATCAGATGTGGATTAGCTGCTTTGATAATCTGGATTACATAGTAGTTTAGAAGGGGTCTAGGACATTTTCTTAGCCCTCTTGAATCCCCACCCCATAATAACAGCATGGGATAACTAATCTACACCGAATTATGATAAATATTCATGCATTTTCCCACTATCTTTACACCACTGACAGCAGGATCCTCAGCTATGCCACCAAGCTTGCTTTAACCACTAGGTCCTGCTTCTAAGGCCCCTTTTATTCTGCTTTATAATCCAGGTTATCAAAGCAGATAATCAACATTATCTGCTTTGAACTGGATTATATTAGTCTACATGGCCATATAATCCAGTTGAAAGCAGATAATATGGATTTTTATGGCAGTGTAAAAGGGGCCTATGTCAGTCAACAATCATCCTACCAGAATACATAGGATATGATTATGGAAGGAAGACATAAAACACAGATTTATGGTCATGGTTTTAAAAAGAGATATCAGAGGTTGTGGAACAGTGGAGAGATAATCCATATATTCTAAAACAAAAGAACCTGTTGACTCTTTGTTGGATATACCATTAAAACTCAGAAGCTGTCTCTCTTCAAAGAGTTACGAGATGCAGTTCCTATGTTCAGTAGTTGAGAATGATCATATTCATTGCATTAATGCAGAGGCTCTCAACCTGGGGGTTGGGACACCTGATGGGGTCATGAGGGGATGTCAGAGGGGTCACCAAAGACCATGAGAAAACACTGTATTTTCGAAGGCTCACGACTTCTGAGGATGCTTGCCATAGATACAGGCAAAACGTCAGGAGAGAATGCCTCTAGAACATGGCCATATAGCCAGAAAAAACCTACAAAGACCCACTGCATTTTCCGTTTGTCATGGGGGTTCTGTGTAGGAAGTTTTGCCCAATTTTATCATTGGTGGGATTCAGAATGCTCTTTGATTGTAGGTGAACTATAAATCCCAGCAATTACAACTCACAAATGTCAATGTCTATTGTCCCCAAACTCAACCAGTGTTCACATTTGGGCATATTGAGTATTTGTGCCAAATTTGGCCCAGAACCATCATTGTTTGAGTCCACACTGCTCTCTGGATGTAGGTGAACTACAACTCCAAAATTCAAGGTCAATGCCCACCAAACCCTTCCAGTATTTTCTGTTGGTCATGGGAGTCCTGTGTGCCAAGTTTGGTTAAATTACATTGTTGATGGAGTTCAGAATGCTCTTTGATTGTAGGTGAACTATAAATCTCAGCAACTTTTGGTCATGTTAGGAACAACCGCTCCTGTTGTGAGAGAATTGGCCGTCTGCAAAGATGTTGCCCAGGGGACGCTTGGATGATTTTTGATGTTTTATCATCCTTGTGGGAGGCTTCTCTCATGTCCCCGCATGAGGAGCTGGAGCTAATAGAGGGAGCTCATCCGCCTCTCCCGGGATTCAAACCTGCGACCTTGTCGGTCTTCAGTCCTGCCGGCACAGTGCTTTAACCCACTGTGCCACTGATCTCAGCAACTACAACTGTCAAATGACAAAATCAATCCCCCCACCCCACCAGTATTCAAATTTGGGTGTATTGGGTATTTGTACTAATTTGGTCCAATGAATGAAAACACATCCTGCATATCAGATATTTACATGACAATCCATAACAATAGCAAAATTACAGTTATGAAGTAGCAACAAAAATAATGTTATGGTTGGGGGTCACCACAACATGAGGAACTGTATTGCGGCATTAGGAAGATTGAGAACCACTGCATTAATGCAACAAAGTAGGAAGTTATACACAAAGAGACATACAAAAAAAAACCCCCTCAAATTAAATGTATACACGGTTTTACTTACCGTGAATCATCGGAAGCATAGAGATGCAAAGAAAATGAGAAAGTGGGATTCTCATAGTTTCAAGGCTGCCTCTGCTTCACCTCCAAGGCAACAGGACAATCTCAAACTTGTACAGCTCCAGGTTTGCTTCTTTGAGTGCTGTTGCATCCGGGCAGCCTCTTGGGAGAATGTGGCCCAACCTGTCTGCCCACCCAACAAGTTCTCTCTCCCCCCCCCTCCTCACCGGCAAATACGTCCTGTTGGCCTTCTGTCCTTTACCAGCCCAGTCAGGCTTTGCTTTGACATTTTGATGAGTTTGGATACTGCAGATGGACAGAGATAAGAGACACTTATCAAGGGCAGTTCCAAGGGGCGGAGGGAATCCAGGTATTATTATTATTATTATTTTCCAAATGCACAGATAAAATGAGCAAAGAGTAAAGTCAAACAAATCCTGGAAAAGAAAACACACCACATTGAAATCTAATCATTGGTGAGACGGTAACGAATTTAACACATTGTTCTCCTGTCACTAAGAAAGGACAAAGAAGGTGATCTCTTTTGCACACTGTTGGCCTAGAAGTTAAATGTAAAAAGTATTTGTCAGCTTGCCTGTTCTTGGAGAGATGTTCTGATGCTAGATTTTTTTGGTTTCATGTTCATTTCAGAAGAAATGGAAAAACTGGAGACAAATACAGTGGTTAAAAAAGAAGTACAAATGGCTTTTGTTTCTCACTTCTCAGATTAATGTCCATCTGAAGGCGGGCGTGGATTTTTCTTTCTTCAGCAGTAATTGCTGAAGTGGAAGCGGGTTTGGCATTTGATTTTTTCTAAAACATCCCAAATAGTTGTCCTGGGGCATGACTAGTGGGGCAAAAAATACAAATCCACTACAAGCCATAGTACATAAATCACAGAGGTAATTTTTTTGCAACTTATATAATACAATATTAAACGTATATCAAACTTATATAATACAGCATTGAGCAATATACAAGGTACAAAAACTGTTATTTATACAGTGATTTTTACACCAGTCAAAAAAGTAGAGTATTTCTTGCTGTAAAGCAGACTTCTCCTAAGGGCATAAATAAAAATCATCATCATCATCATCATCATCTTTATTTATATACCGCTCCATCTCCCCGAGAGGACTCAGAGCGGTTCCCAGGTAACATCACAAAACATACAAAGTAAAACAGCATAAACATAAGATTAACGAAACAATATAAGCATAAAAATTGTTGCCATAACACACATATATTAAAAGTAATCCTGCCTGTTCAAGGGAATTTAAACATTTAAAAGGCCGGGCCAAGGTTTGTGCAAGCCTAAAAATTCTAGGGGGCCCAGAAATTAAGTGCAATGCTATGGCAGGCAACAATAATATTAGATACGGGTCTTAGCTGTTCATTCTGGGGACGATTAGAGGAAGTGATCTGGGTAATTGGTAGGAAGAATAAGGCCGCATTTGACAATGTATAAGACTGAGTTAGAACTGGTCATTTTCAAAGGCTTGTGGAAACCACCAGGTTTTCAAGCTCTTATGAAAGGAGGGGAGGGATGGGGCCTGTCTTATTTCCCTTGGAAAGGTGTTCCAGAGGTGGGGGGCCACCACCGAGAAGGCCCTCTCTCTCGTCCCCACCAACCGTGCTTGTGACGGAGTTGGGACCGAGGGGAGGGCCTCCCCGGAAGATCTTAGAGTTCATGCTGGTTCATAGAAGGAGATCCCTTGCTTTCTGTAAAGATACTATTGGGTGGCGCTTCCAGTCCCTTGTAAGAGGATATCCACGTAGAGGATTTCCAGACCGGTTTCAACTGTCTTAAGTCTTCCTCCAGTGGAGAAAATATGAAGAGTACAATGAAGTGGACATCAAGTTCTCCAAAATATCAAATTTTCCTCGGGTGGATAAGTATGAGGATAAAGTTATTTTTATTGGAAAATTTTGCATATCTTAAAAAAATAGTTTTTACATTGAAAGTGGGAGAACATGTTTGTTATAGATAAGGAGGAAGAGAAAAAAATAAGAAAAAAGAGGAATGAAGGAAGAAGAGAAAAGGAGAAAAAGAGAGAGAGAAGGATGTTGACTTGTTGTTCGACTTCATAATATTATCCCAAAAGTCCTCCCTGTCAGCAAAGTCTAGTTCTTTATCTTTCATTTTCTATTCTTGAGTTTGGAGTAAAGCAACTGCTTTGGGAGACAGTGATTGGGCATTTGGACAACGTGGCTGGTCCAGCGGAGTTGATGGCAGAGTACCATTGCTTCAGTGCTGGTGGTCTTTTCTTTTTCCAGCATGCTGACATTTGTCAGCCTGTCTTCCCAAGAGATTTGCAGGATGTTTTGGAGGCAACACTGATGGAATCGTTCCAGGAGTTGCATGTGACGTCTGTAGAAAGTCCACATTTCGCAGGCATATAGCAGGGTTGGGAGGACAGTAGCTTTAGAAACAAGCACCTTGGTATCCCTGTGGATATCCCCGTCTTCAAACTTTATTCCATCATTGGAATAAAGCTTTTACAAGGGCAGCATTCTGCAACTCATACAAAAGAATCCTAGGTAAACAAAATGGACCTGCCAGGAAGTGACCACCAAAATCCATTGCAAAGCTGCTGCTATCAGAATGAACTACACTGTGGCAGATCACAGCTTGGAAGCTTTACCTTTTTGTGCTATAATACCAAGAATCCCCAGATGGGAGCTTGGAAATTTTGCTTTATAACTGTATCTTCCAGAATCCTCAGATGCTATGATCACTGGTCATGTGGTATTTTAGAAGTTGAGAACTATTTTGTATTTGGACTCTCCCAGTCCACACCAACTTAATGACCATTGTGTGACTATACAACCAACCCACAATGTTTTGTGAACTCTAGTTGGCTCTTGTAAATTAATGTGGATGTTTAATGTATTGTTGAAAGCTTTCATGGCCGGAATCACTGGGTTGCTGTGTGTTTTCCAGGCTGTATGGCCATGTTCCAGAAGCATTCTCTTCTGATGTTTTGCCCACATCTATGGCAGGCATCCTCAGAGGTTGTGAGGTCTGTTGGAAACTAGGAAAAAGGGGTTTATATATCTGAGGAATGATGTCCAGAGTGGGAGAAAGAAATCAGGTAGGTGTGAATGCTGCAGTTGGCCACCTTGATTAGAATTTAATGGCCTAGCAGTTTCGAGATCTGGATTTTTACTCCTTGGGGAAATCTTTTGTTGGGAGGTGATTAGCTGGCCCTGATTGTTTATTGTCTGGGAAAACCCAATTTTCCTAGTTTCCAACAGACCCCACAACCTCTGAGGATGCCTGCCATAGATGCAGGCAAAACATCAGGAGAGAATGCATCTGGAAAATTGCCATACTGCCCAGGAAACTCACAACAATCCAATGATTTTATGTTATTATATAATTATGTTTGACTACATGTAGTATAATTTATTGATATTACGGATGTTAGACTTTAATTTGATGTTAGGTTTTAATGTTATTTTCATATGTGGGGTTTCTCTGGGATTTTATGTCAGTATTTGTTTGTTTTAAGAAGGCACTGAATGTTTGTCATTGCATGTTGGAATCTGTACTGAGTCCCCTTGGGGAGATAGGGTGGAATACAAATCAAGTTATTATTATTATTATTATTATTATTATTATTATTATTATTATTATGGTACAAAAAGGTAATCTTTCCAAGTTCTGAATTAGATGGGCAAATTATCAATGGGTCTTGAGATGTATACATATTATTCACAGAAAGGAGAAAATGCAAAATGATCCATCTTATATCCTATCCTATCCGATTTGTCATTGATCCATTCCTTTGGACTTCATGGAAATCTACCATTTGCCAAAATTTATTATCCATTTCTGGCAGAATAGTTTAATCAGAGGACGAAAAACTGATAGCGACTCAGAAAGCAATCCTAATCAAGGTGGCCAACTGCAACATTCAAAAATGTGTCAAGCAGTTCTTTCTCCCACCCTGGACATTCTATAGACATATAAACCTCACTTACTTGTCTGTTGGAGGCAAGTGTGAATGTTGCAATTAGCCACCTTGATTCGCTTTGAATAATATTGCAGCTTCAAAGCCTGGCAGTGCCGAAACAAGAAGCAAGAAACATGAAAGGTCCTGCAGACTAATTAAGACAGAGAAGTGTTGCATGAAACCTCCCTGGGCAAAATTATTATTTGTTCCCTTCATGCCTGCAGCAGAGAGTTCCAAAGGCTGCAGACACTTAAAGTGTAATTGTTTGGCTCTGCACATGTTCAGACAATCAGGAAACTAACTACAGGCTGCTTATGATCCCTTAATAAATAGGTTACCCTAAACTCTGTGCTTCTCTTGCCCTTTCCTTGCTGTAATGTACCTTTCCCAGCCATCATGTATCTTTCCTCTTTTCTTCTCTTTCCAGATAGCTGGTTCCGCCATTACAAAACCTCTGATAATTTAAGCTCTCTCTGCTCATTATATTTCTCTCCTGCCACCCTCCCTTTCTCAGAGCACACTCTCTGGCATCTTCTAGGACTTAACTCAACCCAGGGATTCTGAAGATTATGTTTTCCAAGCCTGAGAAACTATGTCTCCCAGGACTGCTGTTAAAAAGAACTCTCTACCTGCTCTAAGGTTGTTTACCTTATCCATTCCCATCCTTGCAATGTGCACCAAAGCCCCCCTAAAAGCTCATTCTGCGTGTTTACCTTTCCCCAGTATGGAATTGTGTTATTTCTATGTATTTTCTCTTTCTCATGCTTTGATCTGCATACAAGGGAGTCTGGCTTGGATATCTGTATGTACTTGGGAAAACTCTGTCTCTCATGTGCACGAAAAATGCCTTAAAATTTCCCTGCCTTTTCCTATGTATTCATATGTTTTGTTAATAATATATTTTGTGCTTCTGAGATTTCCTGTTCATTTCCCTGGATGGACAACTGTATTCCTGACCACAAAAGGAAGTCTTTGCATCCCATATGATCATACAGCCTGCGAGAAGACACTCCAAGCTGGGGATTTCACAATCAATTCCTGGCCTCACCCATCTTATGGACATTATCTAGACATCTGTAACACAATAGCCCAGCGGACAGGAAGATGGCCCATTGCCTTTTTCCTGCCTGCCTCAGGGGAAGTTGCTACTTTTCACAATGTGCCTTTGTGTGTGGGACCCCTCGCCATGGAAGGAACCT